GTTCTCTCTTGCTTTTGTGTGATGTGTTTCCAATTTTTTCTGATAGAAAAGCGAATCAGTCGCTTTATCTTACTTAAACATTAATTTGTCACTATTGCAGGCAGGTTTCCACTGAAGAAGGTCAGCGCAAGGCTAACGAGCTTAACGTGATGTTTATCGAAACTTCGGCCAAAGCGGGATACAACGTTAAGCAGGTACAGTTGCCTAGTTTATTTGCACATATCCGTATTGTAGTTTTTGATTGGTAAACTATCTAGCTGAAGTGCGAGACGTTTGTGAATAGCAGAAAAAGCGATTCTTATGGGTTTAATACCATCCTAAAGCATTCTTCACATTCTTGGAGTTGAGACTTAGTGCTTTAATCATTCTTGAAAAACCGGATCAGTGAGCAAGCGGACCATTTGGATTTTTGACTGCTAGAGCTTTTTATATATCCGCAAAATTGCTTTTCTTTTCTTTATGTCTACAGATTTTTTTGTATGTGTGATGCAGCGACGCGAATCGAGGTGTTTTCTTGTTTTCGAGCACAAAATTAATGTCGATCTGAGAGTTAGACATCAACAATAGTCGTATGCGCAGAGTGACTGTGGCAGCTCGGGTAGCTATCGTAGGAGGCATCTCATTAGGTAGCGTTGATTCACATCCTTGTTACCGCCTAGTAAACTGTAATCTCGGAAAAATTTGTTATCAAATTAGTAGCGGGTCGTGATATTGTGAATGATCGGGCAGAGAATTAAATAATGAGGGATTAGCCCACATGAATGCACGTAGTCTCCACATGTAAATTTCAGTTATTCCGTCGCATTGCTGGAGCTTTGCCAGGAATAATCAAGGACGATGATCGCACTGACAATAGTGAGTCACATCTGATCAGTCATCACCAACGATTACTTTTTCTACCTCACATCTATTTAGCTACTATTGTGAACATGGATCCGATTAAACAACGTCAGATAGTCACAGACGAAGGATCGTGCTGGTGTTGAAGACTACACTGGTTGCTCATGAGCATGCTTTCTCATTTCATTCTATGGACTGCTTGTTGCGTATCATTTTCTTCCGTGTTTGTGTACGGCTTATACGGCTACTCTTCTTATTTGATCATCATCTCGAAATTTACTCTAGTTGTCAATGAGGAAGCTTCTTGCTTCAATGGTGACGGTTTAACCAGGCAATTTATTGTTTCTTTATTTATACTTCCATTTTTGCGAAGGCTTGGGATTTCGCGCAATTGTTGAGTGATTGGTAGGGGCCTTAGTGCTAATTCACATTATTTTATATGCATCACGCTCATTCTTACTTTGAGATATTCTATATTTATGTCAAAGTGTTAGCACTGAGCTCCCAATAAGCTGATTGTGGCCTACTGTGCATGCTGGGATTGTGATAATTATGTTTAACTTATCTCCTGAAGTGTTGTGCTCTTTATTTTGTCATCAGCATATTCGAATCTGTTGCTTGCGGCTTACATGCGGCAATATCATTCTAGAGGTATCCTGAGTTAGCGCGTTAGCTTTACTGATTCATGTTGGAAATACGTGCAAGATTTTAAATTTTCGAAAATGCTCTTCAACTTCTTGGTTACTTCATATCTGTAAGATTTTCCTTGAGAAAACTCATCATTTTGGTAATTTGTATGCGGCCATAAACAATCAAAATGGTATGCCATTAGCTAGGAGAGAGGAACTCTTTTGAGTTCCCTCTGACTTTTGTGGGATGATGATCACCATAACGCAGTGTTTTGGGGAGTACGCTAGCTCCTCATTTCTTAAGCCCTAGACCTATGTAATATTTAAACTTTGGGGGAATACCTGTGATTGCAAATATACGCTTCATAATATTTTTTTACGATGCACTATTTTGTAAGTTTTTGCATTATACCATACGAACTTTTTGAAAAGAGTATCTGACTTGAGTTTGGATTTAAACGAAAGCAGAGAGACTAATCTCGTTAGGGACTTTCTCGCTTTATTGTCGTATTTCATCAAGGGTTGGTATTATGAACGTAATAATCAGATTTATAATCATGAGATCAAGGGATTACTTCCATTGTCATCAACTCGCGTAGTATCCTTTCGAGGCTCTTTTGGTCCAACATTGATCATCTTTAATGCTGTTATACTTTTAATGTTAATTTCTAATAAATTATATTAGCTGGTTTAAAAAAAATATTGTCTTTTGTCTATGCTAACTCTGTACGAAAGTAAAGCGTTTATTGAAATGCGTAATGGTGCCGATGGTCTCTAACATAATCCCAAGTGTTATGGTTGGTGTTTTAGAGTTTTTCCGACG